AATAAAGCTGAAACTCAAAAACGTCAGGACACACTGTAGTCTGGTTAGCAGATGTTGCTCACAGGGAGGGGCTGGCAAGCAGTGCTGAGAATTTGGGGGTCACACTTAAAGCACCAAATCGTGTAAGTGAACAAAGTGAATCTGAGACAGACTTCTCCCTGTTACGCTAAGAAATCACAAGTAAGAGGAACAGGTCCTGGGGTGCTGGGAGTCAGAAACACTAGTGGCGACTTATGGTTATTCAACAGTACACATGACTAGACACTACAGAGATAAACACAGTAGTGATATGTGTGTTAGTACCCAGGGTTTCGAGCTCTGGCTGGAGGACCCAGTGTTCAGACTCTGGTTGCAAAGGAGTTAGGGTTCCTTGGAGAAATGGTGGCTCCAGGTCTGGGCGGGGAAAATGGAAGGTGGGTCTGCAGCATCTTTTAACAAGTCAAGAAGGGAATTACTAAAGGTGTCGTTGGAGCACAGTGACACAGACAGCCATGTCAGAGACCTAGAGACCAGAGATAAAGCTATTTGAATAAAATCCAGTTAGATACAAATGATCCAGTGAAGCTGTGTGAGATTGCTTATATTCATAATGTCAGGCTATGGAGGAGGATCGTCATCAAGTTTAGTCTGTCCAGGAAGGCCTGAGCTATAGCTTCTAAGACCTTGCTTCAAGAAGGGAGAGAAAAAAGGAAGAGGCAGTCCCAGGTATAGTGGCACAGAGGCTGATGCAGGTGGACTGATAGTCTGGGCTGTAAAGACGCCATCTCCAAAAAGATTCATTTAACCCACTCAGCCAGGCTAGAAAATGACCCTGTCTAGAAAACACAAAGATAGAAAGAAAAAGCACACGGCAAAAGTCTACAATAGAATGTCTGAGTTACACAAGACCTCTTTGCACTATTATTTTTCTGTAAGCATGAATATCAAATTACACAGTAACTTTAGAATATTCACAATTACACAGAGCACCTGCCACACAAGCCTGGTGACCGGAGTTGTTTCCTGGGACCCACATGTAGGCGAGAAGTGACTCCGCACACATACAGTAGCATGTGCATGCCCACACCCGAATGCAACATCATATACTCACCCACACACAATAATCAGCTTTAAAATTTTAAACAGGAAACTGGGGTGATTAATTCTCAGTATTAGATAAATTACTATGGATATAATGTATGCCTTCATTCAAGAGGTGGAAGCAGGAGGATCCAAGGCTGTAAGTTAGGCTGGATGTAGCTCCTTAGTAGATGCTTGCCTTGCATGCACGAGGCCCAAGTTTAGTCAGGATTACTTACTACATATACAAAACTCCGCTATACAGGGAGTTCAAAGTCAGCCTGGGATACACGAGATAGAGTGGGGAGATGGTTCAGACAGCTCAGTGCCTACCATGCAAGTACAAGGACCTGAGTCAAGGATCCCAGCACCCATGTGGCAGACAGGCATACGAGATGCTCAGTAGGTAACTGCACTCGCCACCAAACCTGGGACCCACATGGTGGAGAGAGAAGCAGCTTCAAGTTTTCTCTGGGGTCCACACGTATACTTTGGGGACATGTGTGGTCCCCCTCCACGGAAGTGTGATTTTAAATTAAAAGCCAGGCATGGTGGTACGCACCCTTTAATTCTAACATCCAGGAGACAGAGATAGAAGAATCTCTGAGTTCTAGGCAGCCAGGGCTACACAGTGAGATTCTATACCAAAATAAAAAAAGGTAGGGCTATAAAAATGACTCAGTGGTTAACATCGCTTGATCCAGGTTCAGTTCCCAGCACCCACATGGTAGCTCACAACCACCTGCAACTCCAGTTCCAGGGGTTCCTTTTCTGGCCTCCATAGTCAAGTCACCTGCATGCATGTGCATATACCATCTCCATGTAACTAACAATAAAATCTTTTTTAAAAAATATTTATTTATTTATTATGTATACAATATTCTGTCTGTATGTCTGCAGGCCAGAAGAGGGCACCAGACCTCATTACAGATGGTTGTGAGCCACCATGTGGTTGCTGGGAATTGAACTCAGGACCTTTGGAAGAGCAGGCAATGCTCTTAACCACTGAGCCATCTCTCCAGCCCTTAACAATAAAATTAAAAAAAAAAAAGATGGGCATGGTCACTTTTATTTTTGTAGACAGCGTCTTTCTATGAAGCTTGAATGATGAGGAACTCCCCATGTAGACAAGGTTGGCCTCGAAATCATAGAGCACCATCTCCTGAGTGCTAGACCTGGTAACCAGCACTCAAATAGCTGCACAAAACCACCTAACTCCAATTCCAGGAAACCCGACATCCTCCTCGGGCCTCCAAGGGCTCCTGTACATACATGGTGCATATAAACTCAGGGAGGCCCAAACACATGCATAAAAAAGATGGACTGATTGAGGGAGACACCCGATGTCACCCTGTGGCTCCCGCATGCACGAACATAAGTTCATATATGTGTATGAACACATGCATGTAACCACACACAAAATGACATAACTGCTCTAATATAAATTTTTCATTACTATGATAAACATATCTGAGATTATCAACTTTATAGGACAAGCATCATAAGGTAGCTCATGCCTAAAGCTCTAGCAGTCAGAAGGCTGAGGCAGGGGGATTGTTTGTGAAGTTCAAGACCAGCCTAAATTATAACATGGGTTACTATCTCACAAAAAGAATCATTCCTCTAAGAACAGCACAGTTCATTACAATGGAAGCCAATGTCACAGGAGGCAGAGAGGGCTCAGGAAGCTGGCTCAATGGGCAGACACTCGTCAAGCCTGAGGTTGGATTGCTAAAATCCACAGGATGGAAGACTTCTGATCACACATATGCCATAGAATTTTTGTAAATGGCCGGGCGGTGGTGGCGCACGCCTTTAATCCCAGCACTCGGGAGGCAGAGGCAGGCGGATCTCTGTGAGTTCGAGACCAGCCTGGTCTACAAGAGCTAGTTCCAGGACAGGCTCCAAAACCACAGAGAAACCCTGTCTCGAAAAACCAAAAAAAAAAAAAAAAAAAAAAAAAGGACAGAATTTTTGTAAATGTATGTGCACACACCCAATAAATAAATGTAAAAGTTCTACCACTCTTAATATAGCACCGTGGGCCAAGCTTTCAAAATACCAGTCTTAGGCAGACACTCCAGATCTAAACTATAGCAATGACGTTAGACGATAGAAATGAGGTGTGATGAACTGTGATCTGTGCGACTTCAATACAGACATTTGCCATATCCACTCAGAATTTAAAAAAAGGTCTTGCTATATTGCCCAGACGCATTTTCAAGTCTTGGGTTCAAGTGATCCTTCCACACCAGGCTCCTGCATAGCTGGAATCCCAGCAAGCGTGCACCAGTGGGCTCAGCAACAAAACCAACTTCTCATTCCACTGGACATCCATCCAACTCAATACTACTAAAAAGAACTGCCAGCCACTGAGGCCAAAGCCAGCCTGGACTCCACACAGCAGTAAGTCAGGGAGGCAGGGCTCAAGAAATCAAAACCCAAGATGTTATAACTATTTGGAAGAGTTTACAGCTTCTCAAAAGTTGATTGAGTGATACATGCCAGGATTCCCAGCACTGGGCAGGCTGTGGCAAGAGGACTGTCAACTCCAAGAGCAGGGTTTCTTCCCTGGCTGTCCTAGAACTCACTCTGTAGACTAGGCTGGCTTTGAACTTAGAGGTCTGTCTGCCTCTGCCCTCCTGAGTGCTGGGATTACAGGAATAATTTTAAGACTCTACACTGATTCTGGGGAGGGAGGAGATATTCCTACAGAATATTCAAGAGTCCAAGGCATAGGCCAGGTCCCTGGAAAGCAGTGTGACCACAGAACAGGTAACAGAACCAATTCCAAGCCTTTATTTACTCCAGCTTTTCTGTCTTTGTTACACTGTATCCAATTTCTCATTTTTGTCTATTAAACTATTAGTTAGCTAAAGGGAAGAAACAACATTTACCTGAAGGTCCTGCTGCAAGACACAGACTGAGCCATGAACCAGGGTTAGAGGTTTCTGAATACATGCACCACAGAATCTAATACTGCAGGTTATGTAAGACTGAACACTAGATGCCGAGAGGAAAGACTACCTTGGCCCAGGTGGTTTGCAAGTCCTTTGTTCACAAAGATCAAACTGAAGACACATCTATTTGACGTGGCACCTGAGACCGATCTCTAGCTACCTCAAGTTGAAAGCAGAGATGGCAAAGTGAGGAACATTGGACGAGTTCAGATCCTGAAATCCTCAGAAACCACATAAAAAGCAAGGTGTGGTGGCATGCACTCGCAATCCCAGGGAACACCTAAGGTTGTCCTCTGTTGACACAAGTGTGCACATGCATCCGGACAATACCGAGATACACTGTCATGTGTACGCCATCCTACATGACTCACTGAAGCAGCAGCTCCAGCAGTCCTTAAAAGTATTGCTTTAGCCGGGCGGTGGTGGCGCACGCCTTTAATCCCAGCCCTCGGGAGGCAGAGGCAGGCGGATCTCTGTGAGTTCGAGACCAGCCTGGTCTACAAGAGCTAGTTCCAGGACAGGCTCCAAAACCACAGAGAAACCCTGTCTCGAAAAACCAAAAAAAAAAAAAAAAAAGTATTGCTTTAGCTGGGCGGTGGTGACGCACGCCTTTAATCCCAGCACTGGGGAGGCAGAGAGGCAAGAGGATCTCTGCGAGTTGAGGCCAGCCTGGTCTACAGAGCAAGAGTTTCAGGACAGCCAAGGCTACACAGATAAACCCTGGCAAAAAAAAAAAAAAAAAAAAAAAAAAAAAAGCTCTGAGGTTTGTCACCCTGTGATGTCCACCCACCCTTGGTCCTCCATTTATCCCCAACAGTAAGACAAGGACAGTTTCAGTTTCGAGTTCTCCCATTTCTCAGCTCTATTCCTCAAAGTCCTGCTTTTCAACCTGGTCACGCAGCCCAAGGTACTCTTATCTTTAACCCCAACCCTCTTAAAAATTGGTTTCTGCCTCAAATCCCATTGGTTATTATTTTACAGGTGTCTCCAGAGCCAACCAATGACAAAATGAAGCATTTGAACCTTGTCTGTCTTCCCTAAATAATACAGCTTATCTCGAAAAGCCTTCCAGAATATGTGCATAGACTCTAAGCAAACGCCACTGTACACGAGATCTGGGCATCCTCGGATTCCAAGGACTGACTGCTATCAAGTAAAGAAGCACCCTACCTGGTCTTTGTTCCCTGTCAAAATAACAAGACAGAAAAACAAGAAACACACGAGGTTCAAAGCCAAATCCAGATTTCTCTGACACACCATAAGGCAAAGGAGCAGCCCAAGAATTTATGGGTCACATCTCTAGACACCATACAGCAGATTGCTCCATATCCCCTTATCACCTCACGGTGCCGGCAAATGGACAGGCAGCTCCGGGCAGAAGGCCACTGCTGCTCTGCAGTCTTCCCACTGATCAAGCTGAGTGAGGCATTAGAATATCAGGGAAGCAAACAGAAGGCCTCGGCCACGGACTCCCATTTCACACCAGGTACTAGCCACAGCCACCAGCTGTGACAGAGACTCTAACAGCAGGATGGACCAGACAGCTCCAGTTCTACACACAATTCTAGTTTATTATGGCAAAGGTGAAAATGCCACCTTCTCCACAACAGCAACCAGTAAAATTTATCCCAAAAATAACTCGGTACAAAACAGGTCTGTTTCAGAATTTAAAAAAAAAAAAGAAAAAAAGCCTTTACATGAGTTTTTAGATCCTATTTTAAAACAGGAGAAAAAGAAGAAACAAAAACAAATCCACCATTGTCTGCACAGTCCAGTCGCCAACCCTCCCTCTGGGGATCTCGGACGCAGCTTCTGGGTTCTGTTACTTGTGTGGATTTGCTCGGCTGTTTAACTGGTGTCCATCTGAAAGAGAGAGGTTCATTAAGGAAGCCCTTGTTTCTTCTGGCTTCACGAGATTACCACAGGCTGTGACTCAGCCCCACCCAGTCTTCTCTGAGCCCGAGGACTTACCCTGGCATTATAAGCATCCAGCTGTGCGTCCAGCTCCTCCGCAGAAAGCTGCTGCTTTGAGTTCCTGCCGGTACCTCTACCTCTTCCCCGGCTGCCTCCACGGGTTCCTCTCCGGGTGCCACCACCACCAAAACTTCCAGAGCCACGGCTTCTTGTCATGCCACCTCTGTTTATGCTAACAAAGAAAACATAACTTTAATCCATCTGTGCTTTGTGGATGGCGTTATCACAAACCCACAGCCTTTCCGTCCCCGAGGGCCCAGCACTTACCTCTGTGCTGGTCTTCTCTGCGTGTCAATCTGTGATGTGACGAGCTGGATGTTCATAGGACGGCCTATGGTAAAAAGAACACAACAAGTCTCATCCAGAGGCTCTGAAGCTGATACAGAGGGCACCACACCCTGGTCTCCATGCAAGCTCTGGAAAGGGCCTTTGTGTATCTCCAGTGCCCCCAACAAGGTATATGGCCTTAAGAGTCTGGTGGGAAAATAAAGTGGCGATAAATAACCCCACCAACACCTCCTCACTCCTTCTCAGTTCAAGCTAAGAGGGCTGCTTGGTCAGTGTCCAGGGTGCTCATAGGTGGACAGGTGTGGGTGACCTGATGGAAGAAGAACAGGTACCTTTGTCTTTACGACTACAGCCCCGCACTCAGGTTGTACTATGGCGGTTCTGAGAAGGCTTCACAGAAGTGAATCTTCCGGAAGGAGCTGAAGGAGGGGAGGGATGTAGCTTGCTGGATGGGGGTTCACAAGAGGTTGGTCCAGATGTGTGGGGCAGCATGAGAAGTGGCAGAATGGAAGAGAGAGACAAAGGGGCAAATGCAAAGTGTCCTCAGCCACAGGGGCAGCCCATATTCCTACAGGGAGAGGTGCCAGCCCCAAACTCCATAAGCCCCGCAGGCATCCTGGGCCCAGCCCCACACTCACCATCCAAAGGGACACCGTTGTATTGTTTCATAGCCTTTAGGGCATCTGCCTTCCGTTCAAAGTGCACGTCTGCTGTACCTAAACTTCGTCCAGAGCGATCATAGTGCACGGCTGCTTTCTTCAACGTTCCAAATTCGGCAAAGAGTTCCTGGGAAGTGGAAAGGGCAGCGGTCAGTGAAGTTGTGAGCCCTGCTCTTCGAGTGGCTCATTAGGTGCTGCGAACACGCGTGCTTTGAGGGAGCTTTCCTGACAGCCACCCGAGAAGGGGCAGGGCAGTGAACATCAAGAGGTGAGGGAAGGGACGCTGAAGATCACGAGCACCTGGGTTCCTGCCCACTTTGGGACTGCACCATGATGCCGGTGAGGACAGCACAAAGCCCTGGCACAGAGCAGAAGATTAAGAACTACCTCTCTCAGCAGGGGCATTACAACTCGAATAATGGCTGCTTCATCAAACAGCAGAGGCCAAGAGCAAAACCAAGGGCAGTTCCCACAGAGCAGATAGCTCCGAGGGCCCCCTGACCCCAGCCCCTCCCCCAAAGGCAGATTCTGGCTCACCTTTCCCTCTCCTCCTACTCAAGCCTGCTGCAAAGTCTGAAGTCAAACGCGCCATGGAAACTGCCCTGACCTCAGGCAGGCTGGGAGTTGGAGAGGGAACCCAGGCACACAGCGGGAGTGGAGGTCACCAAAAGCGGTTTCCAGTGGATGCCAGAAACCACCTTAAAAAAAGTGTTGAGACACTGTGAGTGCTCACTGGCTGTGCTAACTTCCCATGGCAAGGCCAAAGGGCTGGGCTCTGAGAAATAAAAACCCAGAAAGGCCCAGCACTCCGACCTAGCCATCTCCAAAACTAATTCCCAAAAACTCTAGAGATGCCTCTGAGGTCCAGTCAAAAAAAAAAAAAAAAAAAAAAAAAGACAAGAAAAGAGGGCAACGGCAAGTATGAGGACCATGCCCCTGCCCAGACCCAGGAAAGGTCGCTGGTTAAAACACAGGGCTTCAGGCTGTAACGCACACAGCACTGACACCATGCACCCCAGTGAGGCCAGACATCTGGGGGAGACTCTGTCTCCCATCAGCTCGCATCCCCGGTCAAACCGGGCAGCTCGTGCCCGTTAGAAACTGGAAGTCCTGGCAGAGGCAGGAGCTCACAGTGGTCGCCTTCAGGGACACACCAGGCTACCTTCCCGCAGCCTGACTTAATAGAAATGCTACTTTCTCTAAGGTCAAGTCACTTGGGGACAGTGGCTGGCCCCGGGGTGGGCGGGCTCCAACCGGGAGGGGGTTCTGGACCGCACGTCTGTGCGGGACGCGCATCGCGACCGGCTCCGGTCTCCTACCTGGATATCCGCGTCTGACACCCCGAAGTCCAGGTTTGACACCAGCAGCTTCCCGCCCGTCTCCACGCCGGCGCCACCTCCGAAGCCGCTGTCGAAGAGGTCGTGCTGCCACTTGTCGGGAAGTTGTTTCGGCTGCAGGCAAAACCGTGAGGACAGAGAAACTCGTGAGCCTCGCCCCGGGCGCCCTCGACACCCCACCGCCACTCTCCCACGTCGGCCCGCAGTCCAGAGAGCACCCCACGCCCGCCGCCACGAGGCCGGACCGCGACCGGACAAAGCGTCCCGGAAGATCCCGGCCTGGGGCCGGGCCTCGCCGCGCGGCCTCGCCCCCGCCCACCCCTCCGCCGCGGTCCCCGCGGGGACTAGCGGAGCGCACGCCCGGCTCCGTGCTGCCGGGCAGCCGCCCGCTTCGGCGTCGCGCGTCCCCGGACTTACTCTGCTGTAGGGTGCCGGTCGGTTCCTGCCGCCGCCGCCCGCGGCGCCGCGAGAGATGGCGGGCCGGTTCCTCATAGGCCCGCCGCCTCGATTCACCCGCGCGGCGGCCTGCACCGCGCCGCCGCGGCCGCCCTGGGAGCCGGCCCTGCCGCGACCCCGGCCTCCGCCGCGACCGCCTCGCTGGCTCCGGTTCAGCTTAATGATATCGTCCAAAGACATATCCATTTTGTCGGCCATGGCGGGCGCGGAATCGGGCCTCAGATCGAGCCCGCGCGTCAGCACGCCGCAGCGTCACTTCCTGCGCCTGCCCCCGGTCTTCCGGCGTCGCGGCCCAGCGGCGGCCTCTGATTGGTCTCGGCGCGCGCGGAGCCGACGGACGCCTGCGCACTGCGCTCGGGGACAGCGAGCGCCGCTTCTGAGGAGCCGGACGCGGCACGGTCGTTTTTATACCTTCCCGCGCGGCGGCAACGGAAGGGCGGGGCGCCTCGTGATTAGGCGGCGAAGGTGCGAGGGCGAGGAGTGGGCGGGGACTCGGGGCCCCGCCCCCGGAGGCCGGAAAAGGCGGGGTGGCCTCGGCGTCGCGCTCCGTCTGCGGACGGGGCGCCTTCTTCGGGACCCCGGCTGTCGGGCCTGCTGTGCGGGGTCGGAGTTCGGGTTCGTCTGCTCGAGGGCGTGGTTTCTCTTTAGCAAGTTAGTGACTGTGCCTCCTCAGGTTTAAAAGCACAGCACTGGTTGTTAAGGAAAAGCTGGACGTTTTCCACGGACGCATTATTTTGTTTTGTTTTTGTTTCTTTTTTCCTTTTTTGGGGAGGGGAGGGGCTGACCTCGAACTCTGGTCCGTCTGCTTCTGCCTGCGAGCGAGTGCTGGGATCCGGGTGCTGGGATTAAAGGCTCGAGTCGGGGATTAAAGGCGTGTGTGACCCCGCCCCACTGCGTGGATGCAGATCTCGAAAGACATCATTAAACATGGCCAAACACCCTCGGAAGCACGGATCCCTTGAAGCGCCTAGCCCCTGTCGCAGCTCCCCTGGTCAAGTGCTCAAGTGCTGGAGCACTACAGACTAACTTTAGCCCCGGAATTCTCTGCCCACAGGTCACAGGCTCGGCCGCCATGAAGGTGAAGATTAAGTGCTGGAATGGTGTGGCCACTTGGCTCTGGGTAGCCAATGACGAGAACTGCGGCATCTGCAGGATGGCGTTTAATGGCTGCTGTCCAGACTGTGAGTGTCCCTCTGTGCTCCACCAGCCTTAGAAACCTTGGGTTTCCCAGCGCTAGGGAGGCAGAGGCAGGAGGATCTCTGAGATTGAGTTCGGCCTGGTCTACAGTGCAGGTTCCAGGACAGAGAAACCTTGTCTTGAAAAACTAAGAAAAACAAAACTGTAAGGTTTAGTTTCCATCTACTGAAGGAAAGCTGACAGAAAATATTTCTTGAAGCCCACTTTTCTATAAAGAGCCTATCTAGCACGGT